GAGCTAAATCTCAGTGCTATGCTCAGGTTTGCTGTTGCCTTCCATTTTTTTTAGAAACAGTAAAATTGGACTTTTCTTCCTCATGATGCACAGCCTCTGTCAGGTTAGTCGAGGACACCTGCATTGCCTCTGTCACTGCTTGCCACAATGCTGCTGCCACACTCCTAATAATTACTCACACACACAGACTAGACCCTCACGCTCTGCTCGACCTGGAGTGTGTGTGTGTGTGGGGTGGAGGTGAGGGATGGAGAGCTCTGCGGCGGCTGTCTGTGATTGACCTGATTATGGAAAACAGCCCCTGGCGTTACTCCCAGAGGAGGCATGGATTGATGCATCTTCATGAAAAATATTCCTGTTGTGTCGGCTTCTGTCACAAGATGCCTGTGGATACAGCCCAGCCATGGCAGACTGCCAAGAGGGAGAGAGAGGAACGGAGAGGCACATTTTATAGAAGGAAAGAGGGATGGAGGGAGATTGTTAGTGAAAAAGAGAGATTTATGCAGCATTTGTTATGTCAAATTTATGGTAAATATTATGTATGTTGGCATCCTAGGGGTAATTACAGCCAGGATATGTGTGATGGTTTTTGCAGGCTCCAATAATTTCTTCATTGCATCACACACTATGGATGTGCATTAACACAGGTGGCAAACAAAGCAGACAAACCTGGTTGCAGATGAGATGGCAGATCGTCAACCTTAGCAGGAAGTTGTTCACTTGAGCAGGTTTGTGGTAGGGATAAAGGTTGGGTACTAGATGTTCGGAGTTAAGGTTAACATTAACCCTAATCGTAAGGCAGCTTCCAGAAAAAGTTGACAACTTCCAACAGTTTTGCCAGTGGTCCAGGTTTGGTCACATTCCTCCATCTTGGCTGCAGCCAGGTTCCTCCCCATTATCACCATATTCAAAGGATATTGCACCTTGCCTTGCCATGACAGCAGGCCTGCCTTCTTTGGCATTAGTGTGGTTGTTCGTGACGTGATGTTGTTGGACAGCACTGTCAGGATATTGCTCTTATAAATATAAGTGTGTATAGACATAGTGTATTTGCCCAAAGAAACAACTTGTGTTTGTTGCCACAAGTTCTTTCTTGGTGTGTGCTCCTCTCCATCCTGGTTTTGTTTTTCTTGGCGTGTGCTCCTCTCCATCCTGGTTTTGTTGATGAGGAATTGTGTAATATCTGTCATCTTAAGCTTGATTTCAAAACCAAGAGAGGCTGAGGTTGTTGACATTAATAAAGATTCCAATGTGCCATTTGAGTTTACATCAACATGTGAATTTGAACATGTAAGATCATTTGTGAATCTGCAAACAGGGACCATGTGTAATGACACCTGAGCCAGTTCCATTCACTGATGAAGACTGAGATGCACATTAAAGCTCCAGAAAAGCTAGATGAGAAAGAAGACTCCAGTTGTGAGAGTCTTATTTTCAGCAGCACAACAGCATATAGAGCCTGTGTGTTGAACATGAAACTCTGATCACTTTTTGTGGTTATGTTGGCTAAGTGTCACTTCATCACCTGTGGACCTGATAATCATACAGAGCAGCCTCAACACTGTATCCCAAGTTCATGTTAGGCAGTTCATCATGTCTGCGTGCAAACAAAATTGAGCAGCTGTAGCTGTTACAGCCAAAACTATCCAAAGTAATCTCTCACCCTGAGAAGGAACTATATAGCTACTCATCTGGTAAACACATCAATGAAGCATTAAAAGAAATGTTATTTTTGTTTGCTTTTTCCTAGAGGAAGGACATTTTGCTTATGGTTGGACCAAGGCTTTGGAAGGGAGTTTCCCATTTCAGGAGGAAGTCAGTTATTCATTTTCAGGCATGGGGGGGGGGTTGAGCGTCACTGTGACAGCAGCAGCACCTCTGAGATTAAGGACAAATATGGATGGATGTGTGCCTCGTGTATTGTTTCACCATGCAAGCCAAGCTCCTCTTGTCCCTCTGCCAAACAACCACTGGCCTATCATCATCAGCTTTAAAAACACATTTAAAACTGCCAAATACTCTGCTGTATTATGCCTTTTATAACTGAGGGTCTCTAGAATAATGACTTCATCAGTGGACTGAAGCTTTAGTATAATGAGATTTAAGTGGAGCAGTAAAATATTACCCATAGCTTCTTTTTCAGATGAGAATTGGATTAAAATTGGGTCGAAAAAGCACAATTATGAACCAAAAGTGATTTGTTTTCTCACAGATATATGATGTATCTCAGACTGTATTCAAGCCAACATCTTATACATCTCGTTCCCCCCCACTTTCCATTCGGACCTGTCAAATGCTAAAAATCCTGAACAATAAAAACATGGCTCAGCACTTTTGGAGCGAGCACCATAAAATGTAATAAAAGGGTAGACATCATCTGGGCCAATTATACAATCAAACTCTCAAGTATCAGAGTAATCTCGTTGCCATTAAAAATGCATTACCCTGAACAACATTTATCAACAGATTGGCTGTGTCACCAATGTAATATTTGTTCAGAAAAATGGCTCCTTTGCAGCATCAGTGGGACAGCTAAATTTCTCTCATACCCACAGAGTTTTTTGTTTGTTTTCTTATTTCCTTGTCATGAATTTTTCATAAGCCACTTGATGAGACATTTCATGCGTTTGCCTTTATTAAGCACAGTAAGAAGTCTTGGGGTAGTTGATATTTTTCCTCTCTCTGACTGCTACAGTGGCTTTTGACTACAGGAGGCAGATTCTCATAATGACTTATAGTCTATTTACCCCTGCCTTGTTAGAAAAGTTCTGGCAGTGGTTAGAGGAAGCTTGAATTAATTGGACAAATCTTACTGGTATACATGTTTCACATTAGGAAAGATTACCAAAAAAATTCACCAGTTTGCAGTGTTAGCACGCTGGCACATCATGGTAGGTTTAACATTTATTATGTTTGCACGCTGGTGTTTTGCTCAAAGAACCACTAGCATATCTCTAGACTCTGACTCTAGGTTTGTATTTCTCAGTTTGCATAGGACTTGCAAGTTCATTTTTTTCTGTTCAGCATGAACAGACATGGTCGATATTTGTGAGTGGGAAAAAATGATTTGAAAAAAGGTTTTAGTCTCATTATTTTCCACCTCAACAGGGGTAGGTTTATTCTGTTTTAATCAGCAGTTACCCAGAAATGCTGAAGTTAGCTACTAATCATGGCACTGGATGCTGGTACTGATGTGCCAAATATATGGTCTTCTAAACAAAGTAAAGGCTTGTTATTTACATTGTCACTTCAGTTACATAGCTCCGTTCTGTGTATTGTCTCCATGTCATTTCTAAAAACAGAAACCATTTTCCATGGAGGATTAACTTCTAAAGATCAGTCAGATGTGATGAAATCATGTAACACGTCATGCAGACAGACTGGTAAGAGCAGCCAGGTGTGGTGGAAAACATAACCTCATATCTGACCTTTTCTCTAAACTAATTTGAATCAGAGTGCACGCAGACACAAGCCAATTAGGGCACATGGGCTGGTTGTTTCCTTACTGTGCTGGAAAAAGACCTGACAAGATGTCTGGCGAGATTTACAGTAGATAAATAATAAAAGACCTGATTAGGACAAATGTGGTGTGTAGGTCAACAGAGCCAGGTGGATGTGGATAAGGGAGTGGAAGTTGACTTCTAATGAAGCCTCAGGTGGCCACTCAGGAAGAGATCATACACTGTGTGTGTGTGTTTGTGGATATGGAGTTGTGTTCCTGTGACTGTGAGTGACATTTGGTTCTCCCCAGAAAGAATTTGCACTGAAATCCAACCCCAGATGTGTCACAGTAGATGTGTCACAGTAGCTGTCTGTAGTGGCTGTGCAATTGGTATGAGCTGAAGTTAGTTTGGTGTCTGGGGAAAAGCCTATTGATGTGAAGACACCCCTCTCCCTCAGAGGTAGAGAATGGAAGCCAATTTGTGGGACATATGACCAGACTTTGTTTGGTGGGATCAGGTGACCTCGCTAACAACAAAAGGGGAAGCTTCAAATCCTGCATCCTCTAATGCAAACGCTGCCAGTCGTGATTCATTTTCAGGGAAACTGTATAGACTGAGATGTATGACCTTAACTCTAAGCTTTTGTTTACAGCTATAGCCAGCCAGTATAGCCATTTACAATATAGTATGTACATGTTTTGGTGCACATTTACTCCTTAGCAAAAGTGACTTGTCGACACCTGCAAAAAGAATGATAATGAATTTGAAAGGTTCACTTTCTTCATCCTCTGTTCAAACAATGCACCGGCCATTTGCAGTCATGATAAACCCTTGTGAGGTGTTTGAAAGTGAACTCATGGAGTTATGGTGATGTCCACTTGGGGTTAAAAACAGTTTTTTATGCTGCTTTTTTCTCTCTTTGTTGCTTTGTGTTGGTTGATTTGAAGATGCTGTTGTACTGCTGATGTGCAGCCATAGTCTCACCAGGAAATGTGTTGACAGAACAATAGGTTTCCTTTATGTTGGTCAGGTTTTTATTACACTCTGTCCAGTTTTGTGAGCATATTTGTTGACACTGGTTATGTCACTATCCAGATTTGCTATAAAAGAAAAGTTTAGAGCTGACTCAAGTTAATCACTAATCAAAATAACTGCCTAAGTTATTTTATTCAAGCAAAAATGTAAACTAGTTCCAGCTGAGGACTGGCTGCTTGTCTTGGTCATATGTAATTGTAAACTGAAGATCTTCTGGTTTTAAACTGTTGTACAGGCAAAAGAAGTGATGTGAAGTTGTGACCTTGGGCTCTTGGGGAATATGATGTGCATTTCCTCTGTTTTCTGATCATTAATCAATCAGTTGATCTCTTGATTAATCAAGGAAATAATCTGCAGTATAGTCTGTGATAAAAATAATTGTGACGTGGCATCCTAAAATGTTTAGAAGGGTCATCTTAAGGCCAAGGTTGGTGCAAGTTATTCAGAAAGTAAACCAAAAGGGCCAATTGGACAATCAGGAGAACAACAGTGGGAATAAATGAATATCTGTTTACAACTGTATACGATTCTTCAAGTATTACAATTTATTACAAAAACTAGAACCTTTTTCATCTGCCAGTGTTGCCATGCTTGAAGCATATAACAATACAGTATAAAATCTCAACTTAAAGGTAGGAAGGTAAAAGCAAAGACCATAGATGCTGACGCAGCATTTACAGACGTTAAGACATGCTGTTACTGTACAGAACATTCCCACTGAAATACAAACATCTGCAAATGCGCCATTGTCATCAGTGAATTGCGTTTTTGCAATAAACAATGTGATCCAAACTTTTTCAGTGTTACAAGAAACACCTCCACTGAAATTCAGTTACATAAAATAGCTAAACGATAACACTCTACAAATCATAATGAAATGTGCTGAGATCTTTTTTTTTTTTTCTTCAACAGCCCAAGGCACTCAGGCTCCAATGTTGGCAATAAATACGTCATTCCTTACACAACATCACGGCAGGGAAGGCGGTGGTAGAGAAAAAAGAGGGAGAGAGAAACATTGTTTTCTATTTCAGAACACATTCCTTTCATAGAAGTCCACCTTGTCCTTTTTCACAGTGACAACCCCCGGCAGTTGAGACCGAAAAGACGTTGAACAAGTCGTTGTGTTGATTTGAGTGAAATCTGTTCACTGAAAACTACATAACCTCCGAATGACCTTTAGATGCTAGCCTGTCATTTTGGTGTCAGAGGGCGTCCTCTGCTGGAGTGGCCTCAGCTGCTTTTTCAAATGAAAAGTAAGCCTGATGTGCGCTGAAGCACCACAGGATGCCAGTGCGTCCATCTCCGGTGAACTGTCCCAGTGTGAGAATCTGCTAGAAATCTATCAAAATTATATTTTCCAATTTCTAACAAATCCAGATGCTATTCATTGACATAATTGCTTCCTGATCTTTCAGCTTAGTTTACCAATGCTGTGGCAACAGTGGTTTTAACAAATGCGCTGATCTCCTCTTTTCTCCCAGTTCAGTTGAGCTGGCGACAAGCTTCAAATGTCCACTTTGAGGCACCTCCGTAAATATCAAGGCTTGTCTCCATCCATGCAAAAACATTGCCCACTTGCGCTTTGCTGCTGCAAGTTGCTAAATTATAAATCTCTCCGATGGATAGTTTCCTATCCCAAATGTGAAAATTTGCCAGGTCTCCAACAAATGCTTGTGTGGCATCAAATCCTCCTCCAAGCGTGTCCTGCAGTAAAGACAGATGGATTTAATCAAGGGTGATAAGATTCTCCCCCTCCCTTAGGCTGCTTTATAGAAATTGCTTCCTGGATTATCTGTTATTTGTTTTTTATTTAATGAATGATAAATATGCATCATCAATCCAGTGGGAGTCTTGATGAGTTCCAGTTAAAGACCTAATCAACTTATTAAACCTATTACAGGGAAAGATGGTTTGGAAATTGAATTCTGTTTAATGGTGCTGAAATCTCATTAGAATGGCAAAGCTTTTGCAGTAGACGCATGTTGTGTTTACCTGCTCCTGACCGAGGATCAGCAGGCCCTGTGGTTTGATTGGATGGTAGGGAGCCAGATTCTCTCCACTCCCTCTCCTCACACCATCTTGGAAAGCCTCCCAAACACCGTCACGAGTGGTCCAGGTCACACAGATATGATGCCACTTTCCGTCATTGATGAGAAATGGCAGCTTTGCGACCTTGAATGGTTTCAAACGCAGAGACATAATGTGAATGTTTGCTTCAACGAACCAAAATAACTCAGTTTAAATTCACTGAACAGTTTCACTGAGTATCAGACTTACCTTGTCATTTATTAGTATCTCCATTGGGTTGTTTCCCCACTCTATGAGCACCAGCTCGTTAGCCTGACCAGGAACTGCGTAGGAGAAAGGTGTGCCCACTCCAGGAGAGGCGTTGGACTTGAGCCACATGCACACTGTGAGTGCGTACATCTCCGGCAAACTCTTCTTCACTTTTGCGTACATGTAGTTGGTTCTCAGTGGGAAGGTGAGCTGGAATTTATCCAGAGGCCTGTTTTCTCTTTGACCTACGAAGAAGAAAGCCAAAAGCTAAGGACACTTGGTAGCAGGCAGTGTGTGTGTTTCTTCCTTTTCATTTTAGCAAGATAAATATAATTCCCAATGCTCACATCTTGGGGTTTGCATGGGAATTGTATTAGACAACAAATCCACAATCGTGACGCCTCAGATTTGTGCTAATCTTGCACGATAAATCCATCAGCACACCAATAGTGACGCTCTTATCCTTCATCTCGCTTTCCTCGCCATCACCATTTCACTACCAGATACATATTTTTGCTAAATGGTTTTACAGGTGTCCCAACCCGAGAGTGCAGAATGTCTCACAGAGCTGATGGAGTCACTGTTAAAAATGGTGTAATCTGCGTAAATTAGAGCAGGAAACTGCCGAATATACTGGGCTGCTCGTGCTTTGTGCGGGTGACTGAACATTAAATGTCATGGCGGTGTCATTAAAGCCTGCAGTGTCGAATTGGGTGTGAAAAGAGATTTGCTGTCACTTGCTACAATGTGGCGATCTGATATCTCCTCTCGATTAGTAATCGTTCTTCGGCCTGGCCTCCGGAACTCTCAAAGCCCGTTATCTCCGCGCAAAAGCCCGTTATCTTCGCACACCCACCTTTCTCCAGGTCGGTGATCCTCTGGTGTAGAGATGTGAGGGTGGACTCCACTCTCCCACGCTGCTCTGTTTCATTCCGTTGTCCGGGCTTCACCTCCTCGATGCTGTTCACTCGGGACAACACTTGCTTCTCCAAGTCGTCGATTTTACTCTGGAGCAGGTCCT